GGCGTCTATCACGCGAGGATGAGAAGGCGAGAGTTCCGCGAGCGGAAAAGGAAACCTTGCTGTGCGGCTCGGATACGCCCTCGGCTTCTTTTTCGAATACCTCGCGGTATGCCGTCCCGTATCCTCTCATTCCCTTGCCTTCGTTCGTTCCTGAAAGAGGAACGCGCGCAAGCTACATACATTGACGCACTCACCCGGAATGCATTCCTGCACGAGCGTATTTCAATATAAACAATTGGCGAGCGAATTTTCCTCGGGCCTTGGCGCGAGTGATTTCTGGCCGACGTGACGGCGATGCTTCTGTCTGTGATCGCGACCCTGCGGCCTCTCTCGGCGGTAAGACACTCCGTTTCTCGCACTTTTTTCTCTTCTCCGTTGCCTTTTTCTCCGCTGCTCCTTTGCCATCTGCGCGTCGCGATCCTCCTTTCATTTCTTCTCCTTTCTTTCCTTCGGAATTTTATGTTTAAATTTCTACCTTGCACCATAAAAGAGGAAAAAATTTGCATCATATTAAAAATGATTTTGAAAATATTCAGCTATCTTAAAGATTGATTAAGCAAACATATAATAATCAGCAATACTTGAGACAAATCTCTCAAAATATAAAAATTTTTCTTAACGCAAAGAAATTAGCTGAATAAATCTATATTTTACTGCAAAATAATGACATTTAAAATTTTTACTAATTTTGTGTCATCGGTAAAAAAAGAATTAATATTACATTAAAGAAATATTATATTTTGTAATATATAATTGATTAAAATATCCTATTATTTATTATCCAATAATTTGTTATATTTATATTTATATACATTCTGTATATAATCACATTTAATACTTACGTTTCATTTAATCAATAAAATTCTTTACGGAATAATTTCTCGTAAATCTTTCGAAATAAATAAATATTATAATTATAATTTTTAAATACTTACTTATCGCAAACTTACAAAAAAAAAGATCATTTTACGCAACTCTTAACATAAATTATACAAGAAAAAAATTATAAAAGAAAAGAGTTATAAATTTTAAAGTAAAATAATTCAAATAAACTGTATGTGTAAAGAGATAATCGTTAAAATAAGCCGAAGAATTGGATTTACTAAGAAGTGTAATGATGTGTGAACATAAAGATTAACTATGCTTTATGCATTAATTAATATAAATTAATGTGCGCGATCTGGTTTTAGTATGCGTGGAGAAAATCAGACTCGAGGTTTATGATTTTCTCATAAAAAAAAGCTGCGCAAAGGGTTAGAATAATCAGTACACCGGTTATACTTTGTAACGTGATATTTTCTTATTATAACATCTGCAAAAAAGACCAGTCGCGTTACATCTACAACTCCGTACATATCGCCGTTATGCATCTCGAAACTGGTTACATCATCATCAATAATGCTTTTATTATTCATCGTAGCGATGTTCTACGCGACGCTACGATACAATATATATATATATC